GTCTGGAGCACAGACCCCTGACCACTGCTCCGCTGCTGTCCTCACCCAGTATATAAATGGATATTAAAGTTTTGTCTTTCCTCTAAACACAAGAGCATTTTTTTTAGCTTTCTATCACAGCAGTGATATCTGTATTCAGAATGAAATTGCTCACTGTGAGATACTGCTAGCACAGTGGTACCTTAAAAACGCAAACGTTCGTTGATAATAAAACTGGCATAGGATTTTGCTTCATGATTAACAAAGTACATCTCTTCTGAAGGTTAATAAAGCACAAGCGTTTAAATAACAGCAAAGTGACAATGATGTTTAATACTGAATAAAATACAAAATGAACAGGCTATTTACTAGGTTCTGAAAACACTATTCTTTGTCATTCTCTTGTAAAGAGATCCGATTGTGGAGAGTGAAGGTCGCTGTTCTGAAGAAGATCTGTTTCTGCTGTTCCCGGAGCAGTGTTCGCACACTCACCTGACGTGCGCGCCCTGGACAGGTCCGCTGGCTCTCAGCTCTACCATGGGCGACCAGTGGCAGTCGTGCGTGCTGGAGGCTGTGTGATGTTTTCTCAGGAGCAGAGGCAACAGCTCAGGCTTTTATAGGGCAGCTCCAGCCAAGGCAACCGGAGTACAAATATAGCCCAGGCTCTGACCTGCAGCGGCCCCAGAGGAAGTGTGTGTGTGTGAGAGAGAGAGTGCCCAGGAAGGCTTATCAGCCCAGCTGCCGAGCTGTTTACCTTTCTGTAGAAAGGTCTTTACAGACCTACCCTGCTGTAAAGTTATTGTTTCGTTACCTTGCACCCATGTTCACATATTAACTTCTCATCTGCATATACGTAAAAGGACTGATAACTTCTATTTTTACGCATTGCTTTCAATCTCACGGCCCGTTATAAATCAGGTGGATGTGGAAATACTGTCATGTGTACAGATATCTGGCTATGATGAAGTGAGAAGTACTTCACAACACTGCTTCAAACCTCACACTCTTATTATATTATTATAATTTATATATATATAATATATTATATAAGTGATTATAGATGTGATCTTGATAAGAAGAGTATTAACAGAAATTTCTCCAGTTGTGATATTAAAATACATACTTTAAAAATGAAAACGTGAAAAAATAACTAGATTCTTTTCTTTTTGATGTGTATTTCAATTTTCCTGTTCCTGTTGTTGCTGTTGTGAGTGATGTTTCTGTCCTCTTTTGGCGTGGATGGCCAGTGTGTATACAGTAGGTGTGGATGGGAGCACAGGTTGTTTTGATTTGTTCCCATTTCTGATTACTGTTTTTTTGACTGTTTATAAATCATTTTTAAAAGTACTAGATTACAGCAATATTTTTTAATTTAATTTGATTCAAGGCTGCGTGTGCACCAGGAGTGAAGGGCCACAGGCAGGCCGCTTTAGTATTACTCACAAAGAGCAATACAGGCTACAGAGTCGGCAGATGGACTGGGAGCTATTTTTTGCCACTTGTGCCACTTCTTAGTCTCTCTCCTTAATCGGAAGCTGCACAGGTTATATTTTTATCTCGAGGAACTTTAAAGTTCAATATGGTGTCCTTAGAGCGGAAGAGATTAATCTTTTCAACATTGTCAGACCTTGAGTGGATTAGTCCTGAGAGCTCTCTAAACGGGAGATCCACCCACTCTTTCTTCTGCTGTGCGTAGCTGTAAGGCCCTACGCCACTGAAATCTGGGAGGGGGGATGTTTTGCAGTCCTAACCATCTGTGTGTGTCATTGTCAATCAAGTAAATCAAGAACATTGGGGAAGGGTCTTTTTTGGGCCGTTGAGACCTAAGATCTGGAAAGAAATGCTGTGGTTCAGAAAGAAATATTCAAGTTCATGTAAGACATTGGAAGACACTGTTTAGACATTACATTTCTACAAATTTTCAAGAACTCCTTCACTTTAAACTTTCCCAAAGACAGCCCAGAGTAGGTCACAACAGTCTGGGAAGCTCAGGTGCTGCAGACACTGCAGGCTGGGAAACAGCAGCCGACCTCTGCAGACACAACATTCACCTGTTTCAGGCAACAACTGTGATCGGTTTATATGGAAGTAATACAAATATTATTAATATTTTATCTGCTCAATTCAGGTTATTGTTTTACAGCTGGTTTACCAGCCAGTTTCCAGTCCACAGAGTGCGGAGTGTAGTGACAAAGCCTCAGTATTGGCTGCGATACCGATTTGAATTCTGTCATTACTGACCTGCGAAAATGCTAAACCAGAAGCTCCTCTGATGTAAAAATGAGGAACTATTCATAAATTCTACTTTCTGAATTCAAGTGCTCGACTCGGGTGCTGGGAACAGTGTGTACGTGACTGTCCGCAGAGCTCTGGTGGTCACGTCTCATTATGGTTCACATTATTCCGAGGCCAGGAGTGACCTGGGCTCCGATCAGAGGAAGGCCAGTGTGTCCGAGTGGATTTCTCAGGTTTCCACAGTTCTTATTCTTCCGATCCGAAGGCGTGTGCAACATCACTGCTCTGGCGCACGTAGACCTGCACGTCGCTAGGATGGACCTCAGCCAGCAGGATTTCCTCTCCTTGATGTCAATTATTATTACTATGATTTTTTTTTTCGTGGCTGCAGGAAGAAGGCGGACTGATCATTGAAGGTTTACTTAACATCTCTTGGGGTCTCAGAAGGCCAATTCGACTTCAAATGCACGACGACAATGAGCGAATCCATCTCTCCAGCACGGGACAATGGAGATTGGACCAGACTGACTTCGCCAGGTGAGAGGGGGGCTGCTTGGATGCTTTCATAAATCTATATATTTGCTTTTTTCTTTGTTAATCTATGCATTTTGCTGACTTGTGCGTTGTCCTGTTCTTTGTGTTCAATGTGGGCTTTTATATGGGCCACGTACCTGCCTGCCTAGTGCAGAACTCTGTCTCCTCTAGAGCCAGATCTGGGCACTGCTGGTAGTTCTCCTGAGCTCATCTGTATGAAAGCTGTAACTGCAACTGTATAACTGCATCACTTTCTTTCCAGTTCAAGGGCGGCAGGCAGCTCTGGATCTTGGGGACTGTGGGGTTTTCATTACAGCTGTCAAAATGGATGTTTATCCAATCATAAGATGATTTGGATTGTTAAAGCAGAGCTGGAAAGAAAGAAATAATAAGAATTGGCAGACTCATTGATCTGACTAGTGCCATGTACGGCTGTAACATAATAAAATGCGGAATTTAATTTTATACATCCCCAAAAAAGCAAAAAATCTTTTGGTTAGCAAGCTTGTGAAGGGAAAATAAGACCTATAATGTTTTTTTTTTAATGTATACTTTTCTCTCTGCTTCACAGTTATGTGACCTTGTCAAGTTTTCATTCAGAGCCATACATACTGTACACCTTACCTCCTAGCGCCTACCACATCTCCCATCCTGGGTCTTCTTTCCTTTACTCCTTGAAAGGCTTTTTACACCATTCAAACGGTGAATAATCCAGGACTGCTGTTAGGGTAGCCAAACTGAATACGAGTTTCACTCCTGTCTCTGGAACTGAGCTGCATCACTGCTGGAGAAGCCTGTGGAGTCGCAGGGCACTATATTCTAGTTCCAATATCGTCTGGTTCTCCTATCGGAAATAACAGTTTCCTTGCAATACATTTCCTGTGTTTTGTGGTAGGACTGGTTGTAGTGTTTTTGCTGACTCCTTGCTAATACCATGCTCATGTCTACATTTTTTTTGTATCTTCTGCTGTGTTTCTTGATCCTCCAATTTATCGTAAAATGCAAACCGACTATTGTACTCCCTATACCAGAATCTATATCGTCGATATGAAGCAGGAGAAGCAGTGGTCCTAACACTGTAGTAGTACACTAATCACATCCCCGTTTATCTGTGCTCTCTGTTTTCTATCCATCAGCCACTTCCCACTGCCTTGCATCCCTTCTCTGGGGAATTTCATTTTAACTGGGAAATGTATCATTCCTGGGTTTGCTTTTGACACCCTTTTATGGTAGAAGTGAGCCTAACCTCTGAAAAACTGCCGGCAGAGCTTGGTTAACAGCCTTTGAATGACACATCTTTTTTGGTGGTGGAGCGGAGTCCCCATTATCTGTAAAGGGCTTTGAGTGGAGTGTAAGCAAGCAATTAATTAATTAATTAATTGTTTTTTTATGTATATTTCGTCAAATAAGACCAGGCCGCAGCATTTAAGTGCTTCTAGTACTTCTAATACTTCTGCCTCTGCCTACAACGGCTAACAGTGCTATTCGTTCTATATCAAAGCAATTTCCAAAGAACTACACCCTCTGATTCATCCGGCATCTCTCATAAGAAGAGCAGGCAGAAGCGCGCTTGTGCAATCCCATTCATCAAGCGCTCTGGTGAAGATACTTGCCAGGAAATGCTGTCATGTACTAGGAGATACTGCCATGGGAATTGACTACAGGTGGTGGGTAGACATTAGATACAGTTGGTATGTGCATGAGAAACATATCAAATAGGGTACCTTGCACACCGAAAGACTATTGTTATTCCCTCCTGTTCAAATCACGATGTTCTAATGATTTCAGACTCCAATACAGACTGACAATTCAACACAGGGCTTTAAAAGCACATTTTATTCAGGCACCTGGAGTCTTGAAAGATGAGAGATTGTCACGATTGACATCGCTGCCAACAACATGAAGGAGATCCTAGAACAAAATGTCAAATACCACAACATATCCTGCTTTATATCAGCTTTTGTTGACTCTAAATATATTCATGGAAAAATTTCGAGATTGGCAGAGCATATTGTCGGATAAAGGACCTTTGTATTCATGCAAGGGCAGGCAGCCTGGAAGCAAATGTTTTTCAAACCTTGTCATGCGAATTGCAAACGAAACTAAGCAAACTGTTGCAAGCCAACTAAAACCATTACTGGACCAGCAAAAGTAGACCTGCACTGTCAAATGAGTACCGACATAAAAATACATATTGCTTACTTATGAAAGACCTAGAGCAAATGACACAAGTTTGTTGTTTGCGACCTGTGCCACCATTTATGTCTGTTTAGAGTGGGATAAAACAGGCAAAGGTTTAGTTTGCTGCCGTAACTGAGCAGGCATGAAACAGTGCAGCCTTGGTCCTGAGAACCTGCACACCTGCTGACCTTTTTTTCCAGCTGAGCTCTTTTTACCTGTGTCTCTTACCTGAATGAATTAGTCATTTGACAAGAGCCTTTGCATGGTTTTGTTTCTTCTGCTTAAACAAGGTTGGGAACTCCTGACCTACTGCGTTTCAAACACCTTAAACAGAGTCAAGGTTACACTGATAAAACTGGAGGATAATTTGTAGTCCCTTGCAGGAAAATGTGGTGAGGTGGGGACTTCAGGCCCAATATATTTCTGTCTTGCATCCCATTGATATGAAAAGCTGAAATCAGTCAAGAGATGCTTAAAAATCGACCTCACTCTTGCACACTTTTACTTTGTTTTAGAGCTGAGAAGACTTCTGTGGAATCGAATAACTATTCCCTCAATGGAAAACTTTCACCAAATAATACAAGTAAGTGTTCCAGTATAAATAGTTTACTAAATGTTACTTACAAACATCCAGCTTTGTTTCAACTATTCAGTTTTGTCTTTTGTGTTTTTTGTGTGTTTTACCAGTGATTATGTATAATATGTATAAAGACAATTATTTTTTGGTCTGGAATACTTTTATACTGTTTGTATTTATTTATGTGAGGTTTGAAATTGTAGCCTTGTTTAGGGCAACTCTTCATGAATATAAATGTTTGTTTGATTGAGGACAACCCTGTGAGGCATGGGCAGTTTTCCCAAATATGCTAAAAGCATCCCTGATCAAATCTCTGCTGGGGTGTTTGTTTTCCTTTTTAAACAGAGGGCAGCGGGGAATGATGAACAACACATAAACCTTTTGAAAACATGCCAAATAAATAGTTCTCTGTAACTCTTAATTTTGAAAAATGTGATTTCTCACCGTGATGCGCACAAACAACTGAAGGTCCAACAAGTTAAGGCATGTGCTTCTTTGTATCTTTCCGAACCCTGTGCCAGCTCGGAGATATGTTGAAATAAAGGCAAACCTGTTCACCAAGCGTGGAAGCTGTGTCTTGATCCTGGGAAGGGATATAACCGGATTCGGGTGCCAACGTTTGTTTCAGAAAGAACCAAAAAAAAAAATACCGCATCCTCACTGCCTCCTCCCATACCTCATTTTCTGATTTTAGGTGACGATGACATTAATTAAAGGCTCTGTACTTCCCCGGTGACGCAAGTCACACCTCACACTGTGGTTCTGACTTCTCAGGTTCCGAGCCGGGCAGTTCGGAAGAGGAGACTCCTCAGCTCATGAGAACGAAGAGTGATGCTAGCTTCGTGAGCGTCCAGCGCAGGACCAAGCTCCACAGCCCGGGGGAGCTGCAGAGGATGAAACGCCACCGATTTTCAATCAACGGCCACTTTTATAACCACAAGGTGAGATAAACAGTGCAACATGCTCCCAGGCCGTGGTTATCTTTAGCTAGCATTATGGTATGGCAGTACGTATTTTCCTGTTTAAAATGTTGCTTTAATAGCACATCCTGAGATGGAATGTTTCATGGGATTAACCTGTGGAGGAGCAGCTTTTTCCTGTGGAGTTGCTCCCTGTCAGCGCTTGCCGTGCAGCAGTGTCCTGTGGTCTGGCACTGTCTGACACAGTACACAAGGTCACAGCTCGCAGAGGCCCCTGGACACTTGCTCGGAACTTGAAAGGAAGCTGTTTTTTGTATTCAAGGGAAAGGGGATAGTTCAGTTTAAGACCCATACTACAATACATGCTGAGATCGACACATTTTTCTCATGCTTTAACATCAACGGCTTAAGAAGAAACAGGATCAGAAAGAAACGGAAAGAAATATTGCAGAAGGGTCCTGTTGTCAAATGCTAAATCATGAGAGCACAACAAGCTTGCCTGCAGGTGAGGAAAAACAAATCCTTGCATGTATACGCTTACTGATTTGTCAAATTTAAATTCAAGAAAAAAGGATGAAATTTCTCGGTATACACGGCTTTTCCCTCAGTTCCTACAGTTTTCACTTTGACATTGGAGTTTGCAAAAGGCCAGCCCCTACACTGCATTCCTCTGCTTTCAAATAATATTTCACTTTCTACAGTGTCTCTCTTGACAAATTCTCTCAAAGAGCTTTACAATAAAACCAAGGCAAAAGCCTCAGACAATTTTATTAACTACCAGCTGTATTTTAACATACTAAAATCTAGAGTATCAAAATGAGTATTAAGGCATGATTTGAGTAATACTGACTGAGTGATGTGTGCTGGAAAGTGATTTTGCCAGCCACGTGTTGCTTGGATAATCATGAAATAAACTAATCTCACTGGTAAGTTGTGCAATTTGTGGTTTTAGGTGATAAATGGAGAGAATGACATAAGCACAATGTGCTTTTCCCTCGTGATTCTCTTTCTTTTGCTTGTTCAGGCTTGTTTCCTCTCATGATGTGTCTCCTAAGACACAGGCATGCCTCTATATTGCCTTCTTATTTTGCAGACATCATGCTTTATGACAGATCCAACCTTGTGAGAAAATAATCTGTTCTCTTCTGTGTCATTGCAATGTATGTGATGACTCAGAATCATCTTTAGGAATTTCAGTTAAGTTATTCCCAGGTTATGTACAGTAGACCCAGGGATTTCAGTCCAGGGAAATTGTTTTTCTTTGGCAAACAGTTGTGCTCCTACAGCAAAGCTTAGTGGAAACACATTCTTTCCACTCTAATCTCAGACCCTTGGTTCACATTTCCACTTTCCAGACATCAGTGTTCACTCCAGCCTATGGGTCGGTGACCAATGTGAGAGTGAACAGCACCATGACCACACCGCAAGTCCTCAAGTTAATACTGAACAAATTCCGTGTAAGTGTAGCTTCCAGAATTTCTTTCACCTTGAAGCTGATGATGATGATGATGATGATTAGTGTTATTACATTGTTGTTAGCAAAATGGGGTTAAGAATATAGAGAATTACAGAAAACACAAAGCAGATTAATCTAGGATTAAAATTACATTATTATTCCTGCACATAGATTATATGCAAAGAGTATACCCGAGTGGTTGGTATTATTACGGGTACTTGAGATCTTTGTTCTCTGTCACAGCATTGGTGAAGGAGTAATAAATCAGAGGCAATCAAATTGGGGTAAACAAGTATTTATTTACAATAACACAACACAACATACAACATAAGTTACTACTCACTAACCAGCAAAACCTAGATTGCTACCAAGTATTCATAAATGCTATATAACACCTACACAGGCCCACAAGCAGGATAAACCTGCCTTCTAGATAAAACAGGATGCAACCTAGAGCTAAATCTCACTTTCTCTAGGTTCAGATGCCACAAAGCGATCTCCCTATTCTAAAAAATGCATCCGCTAATCAGGAGAGACCTTTTTAACCAAGGAATTCTAGACCTCATGTTCCATACATTGTTTCTACTGGCTATGAAACCCCAAGATGTGCAAATTATTATTATTATTATTATTTTATGTAGTTGTTATTACTGCTTGTGTTTGACATTTTCTTGACTCAGTTTTAACTACCTCAGGTAGAAAATAAACCCGAAGAATTCGCACTCTACATGGTTCACGAAACTGGCGGTAAGTTCTTTGGCCTTTAAATCATTTGAGTTAATGATTCCTTCAGAAATCCCCCTGCTAAATCCTCCATCACTCACTTCTCCGGACGGACAAAATCTCTGAGCTAATCCCTGTACATTGCTAAGTGCTTGGAAAACCTCAGAAATGCGGAGGGGTTTTTTTCTTGTCCACGCTGTGCTCCTGGGGGTTGTGGAATGTACACTGTAGCTCCGCTTGGCACAGCCGACAAGCTTTGAACAGTAAATGAGTAAAATGTTGCTCAAGCTCGTTTCTTTTCTCCTCACTGGAACACTCCAGTTCGGATTCTTTGTTAAAGGTATGTGGTGTTTCGTTTTTAACTTTAATTAACCATTTCTGTCATGCCCTAGCCTTTTCATTCAGTTAAATCAAGAACTTGAAACGCACAGCTCACTGGAAAACAATGTAAAGATGCCCCTTATTCTCCCAGAACGCTCCAGGTTAACGGAGACGGAATATCCTTTGATAGCCAGACTGCTATATGGCCCTTGTGAGAGAATATCCAAGATATTCCTGATGGAGACAGACTTGGGAGAGGAGGTGACCTACGATGTGAGTGGACGTCATTCTGTACTCATAAAACACCATCTGTTCCGAATTTTCAAACTAAAGGCAGAGAAAAGGTCTTGGTTATTACATGAAAGTTGTAAGAAAATGCCAGTCGTCTTCCAAATGTTAGCAATTGGATCAATTTTTTTGTTAACCACTTTCCTCCAAAAGGAACTTAATTTAATTGTAGAAATTTCATTGAAGAAAACACTATTTGTTCTCCTGATATCCTCTATTGTCAGAAGTGCACTAATCTTTCTGTACCTGAGGCAGGTACTTTGATTTAAAATGGTTTAGGATTTCTGAAGATAAAGTATTGTTCTCACATTGTAGTCGGGTTGTTTTGTAGTTGATCTCACACCATTCAGCCTGGATCAGATTTATTCAAAATCATTCTAAAACTGTCAAGAAGATACATAATTCCCCTTGTTTGTTGAGAAGTCCATGCTTATTTTACTTGCAGGCAATGGTAAAATCTGACCCTGCCAAAAAAGTTTCCAACGTTTATATTCCTGAGCTGGATTACCAGTAACTTGTAGAGCTCCTTAGTGTGACAGGCAGAGGGTAATGATGTTGTAATTTCTACTGTTCTCATGAATCTGGCTGGGTGGAGCTGGCAGTTCGGAGACATTCTCCCCAAAAAATCCAGTATTTGGTCATCCTCTTTTCTCATTATGGAGAGGGTCTTGCCTATTTGTTCACCTGTAAGATGGTAAAATAAAGCTCTCCGAGTTCTTCTCTACCCTGCTGATGTTGTCACTGTTTTTCATTTTGCTTTTAAATTTCAATTGGTCAAGCTTTTCAGTGATGTCCCATGACTTTTAACATCTCTTTATTGTATCTGACAGACAGTTGTTTGTCCTATTAAAAGCCGGCCTACAAATGGCTTTCTTTTTCCTTGATTCTCCTTTCACACAATCGAGTTATTAAACCAGTCTGAATTAAACTGTCATTTCATGATTTTGACAACTCGTTAGACACAATAAAGGTTTATACAAAACATTTTGATTACAAAGCCTTTATTACTACCATCTCTATAACTTGCTTTCCTAAATATTTCTTGTTCTTCAGGTTGCTCAGTATATAAAGTTTGAGATACCAGTTCTTGACAGTTTTGTTGAAAAGTTAAAGGAAGAAGAGGAGAGGGAAATTGTAAAACTGACAAAGAAGTAAGTTTTACAGCTTTTACGTTAATTTACTGTAAGTGAAATGTGAAATGAAATCTGCCCTAGCAGGCTAGAAGACTAGAATCTGACTCTTCTGTTAGAGGGCTGTTGCAGAATAACCACTCACATGAACACTGTTGGGAGTCATTAATATGTTTTTATCAACGATGTTCAGCCCTACTGGAGGATGAAGTGTCCTCGATGTAGTTTAGCAAGTTTGGAATACTTTCACAAACCGCCATTTTAATCTGTTTTACTTATGATACTGAGGCCTGCAATGGTGGATCTCAAACAGAATATCGCAAATCCCACTCCCCTGCCTTAATTCTGCACTGCCTTGAGACACTGCCCCAGGAGGTGATATATTAACCCTTCTGTTGTGTCCTTTGTGTTCACAGATACAGTGCCCTCAGGTCCATGATCTTGCAGCAGTTAGAAGACACTACAGAACGGACTGACCGGGACTCGTGAGTTATGCTTGAAGGCCAAGATGACAATCTGAACTTGTGCAAACTCCTCTGTGGCTCCTATTCCCTGTTGCCTGGCTTGTATGAAGTGTATCCAGACTACAGCATTACATTCCTTGAAGCAGACCCACTTTTTCCATGACGTCATTTTCAAAATCACTAAAACGGTTTGATTAAGAGGAAATGATTTGTCTGACTGTTCCGCCGTGGCCAGTAATACTGCTCTTACTGGAAATCCTGGGCAAAATATCGGATCTCCAGGGAGTAAACCATTCAACAGCTGCACACACTGCTACTGTATGGTCTCCCATCAGATCACTTCATAAATAACTCTACATTGTTCGAGCTTTCTGTCCCTACTGCCTGAGCCTTGGTTAGTTTGCTATGAAGCGGACCAAGAGGTATTCCAGTCACCTGCAGGCCTGTCTGTCACCTGTCTAATTCCCTGCTGGACAGGCTGTGAGAGCCGGGCTGAAGACCAGGAGATTCCAGTGAGCGATATCGCCTCACGTGTCTGGATGAACAGTAGCCTGAGCTGCTCAGAGGCTGGCCACGCCACAATCCTCTCAAGCAGTCAGGCTCTAGGAATAGAAGCTTCTCTCGGAGCCTTTCTTTGTGTGCGTACTCGAGTCAGCACGTGAGGGAGCGATGAGTGTCTGCTTTGGGAGAAACGTGTGGTGAAGTCTAAAGGCTCAATGGAAGAGTCATGAAATAGTTCCAGAATTGTTAGTCCTCCCACACATTCCGCAAATAAAGCTTTGAGTGTATTTTGTGCACTTGTGACCATCTTTCAGTCAACCTCTGCTGCAACATTGCAGGACTCGGTCTGCTCTAGTCATTACACTGATATCCGTCTGTCTCTGCTGTACTTTGTCTAATTTATGATTGTTTCCATCTTCTAAATTTCTCATTTGAAAGCCATTTAAAGAAGCACTTGTTGTTAGAGATACTGTATACGGCAAATGTAAGTGTTGCACTGCTGGCTGGGTAAGAGCACTGCACATCTAAGTGTTTTGAAGCCATAAATTTTAGCATCCTTTCTTTAAAGAAAAGAAACTAAAGAGTATAATGTGTATAATGTTTGCTTTTCTCTTTGACACTTTTATTATGCCCATTGTTACGTAATGGCTTTCTTTTTTGGGGATCAGTAATACTAACAGCCTTTGCTTGTGGCCTAATACTGTCAGGCTCCACGAGATTGTGGTGCATTTTTTGAGTATGATCTGCTGTTGATGTGTGCTTGTGAGTTTTGCAATGTAACTGAAAATAAAGTGCTATTTGAAAGCATCATACAAGTTGTGTTCTCCATACCATAATTTTGGCACTGATTTCTGGATTTTATTAAATTTCTTAAAGGCTTCGCAAAAATACCTATTATAAACTTTCCAATAATAGTGCTGACTGTTGCAGACTTCCGTCTTGCAGTTTATTGAGGTTCATATTAGTTTTTATACAGTGGAGCCAGATCTATAAAAGTTCTTTATCCTGTAACTGGAGTGCGACTGAGAATAATAATCTTTTAATCCTGTGGAAAAAAAAATCAGTGTGTTGTTTAATCCTGGGAGAAGGGTTGGGTTCTTGAATGTTTTCTTAGAGAACATTCTGTAAGCACTTGCTAGTTCCATTATACAGGCCACCTAGCCATCCATCGATTTTCTTACTGTTTTATCCAGTACAGGGTTACAGGAGAGCCAGAGCCTATCCTGGCAAGCAATGGGCACAAGGCAGGGTACACTTTGGAGAGGATGCCAGTCCATTACAGGGCAGACACACAGACACAAACACAGTCCCAGACTTGAACTCACTCACATCACGCCAGTTTTCCCAGAAGCCATTTAACCTGCCAGCATGTCATTGGAGTGTGGAAGGAAGCCAGATCACCCGGAGGAAGCCCTCACCAGCATGAGGAACTGCACAGTGCTGGCACCCCAGGAACTGAGTCTGATAATCATGAGATCTTAATCCTGTGAAAGTCACACCAGACATTGCGCTTCCTCAGACTTCGTAAGCATTGCTAGGAATTTCACTTATGAGCTACAGTTTTTTTAAACACGTCCTTGTGGTGACTAAAAGAAAAACTATCGGCTCCTGGACTTCATGTTAATCACATTTACTGATGATTGTGGGATTAAATTATAGGCTGCAATAACACGTCTACCATGAAATAGTGAAGACCTTGGTCATCACTTTAGAAGTGAAATGGCTCAGTTATTGTTAGAAATTGTTTGCCTTACAGATGTTCGATTCCAGTATGTCAGAGTGTTTCTAAAGATTTACAGTAAGGCAGGCACACAAGAAAACTAAATAGTTACAGTTGCTAAAAAGAAAACAACTCCCAATGACTTAGTAAATACCATACTGAATGTTTGATTATTAATTAATGATGGCAATCGTGTATTAAATGGACAGTGAGCAGGACGTTTTTCCCAGCAGAGAGGAGTCACAACACTTACAGAGAGGTCAAGGCAGCCAGGACAAAGTGACCATTTTTGAAATGTTCTTGCCTCTTACAGATCCTGTATCTGTGCTCGAAATGCTGAACTCATCTACATTTCTCCTTGAAATTGTAAAGCTCTCAAACATATGTATTGTTCTCTGTTTTGAGGCTGGAACTAAAGCACTATCACTATTATTTCCTGTTTCCAGGTTCAGTGTGGTACAATAGTTTTTTTTTTGCTTAACCTGATGAGCTCCGCGATTTTTTCCCATGGGCTTTTCCAGCGTCTCTGTGGACAAATCCGAAGGTAAAATCCAGGCTGGCTGGCCCTGACCCCAGCGGGTTCGCCGTGGGGGCTTCCAGAGAGACAACAGGCCCAGTTTCCTTTCCCAGGAAAACCCCCGGAAGCAAAGCGGAGTGAGGGAGTGACAGGACTCGGTACTCCCTCTTGGTTGTGGCTAGTTGGCGTGTTTCTCATTCATGTTGTTTTGAGCAGTTGCAGAACAGAATTAACACATTTCAGATGAGCTCTTGGGAAAATAACTGCACTGCTAAATTGTTCAGTCCTTGACAGATCTGCTAATCTTGTCTTATTAGACCCTTTACATTGTCTGTTTACAACTCCTAACAATTCAGTAATGTCTTACACATTGACATGCCTGTCAGTGGAAAATCTGAAAATAAGTAAAATATTTTAATTAAGCAAACTCCAATGGTACCTGGGAGTCCTCCAGGACAAAAAAGAGCAGCCCCTTCACTCTCTGCGGTGCTGAAGGTACTGAGGGGTGGGAGAGCTTGGAGCAGCGCGGAGAGCCTGGGACACACGAGACACCCCCCGTCGGACAGCAGGACTCTGGGAGCAGCTGAAGAGATGTCATGGAATGGAGGCCCTTACTGCATTCACACATTCTGACCTTGAGTCTCAGTGGCAGTGGATGAGGGGTTTATT